TCAGCTTGGGTTATATCGGTGCGAACATTTAGGTCACAGCCAACCTTATTTTCAGCAGCTACTTTCGGAGTGATATCGAGCGGTTGTGTCCAGCAGTCATTGAATTGAATGTTTGGATACCGCATTTAAATCTGTGAGGACTGTTCAAACAGAGCTGAGTGTGTGGAAAACCTACTGCGATTCCAACTCTTCAATTGGCAACATAATCAAAAGTTTACAGTATGTCCTGCCTTGAATGAATTTTCGATTTTCATTATGTGAGAGCTTGCACGAAATGGGCTGATATTCAACTTTTGTTCAATCCCCATCCCATAAGCATCTGACTATGCCTGTACAGTGCACTTCCATTCAACAACATTCGACAACAGCAGTAGCTCATATTTCTGCAGTGGCATTGTTGAGTGCAAGGAGCTCCCTTGTGTTTAGAGCGCTGAAGTAATGTCGTTCTCTGCGCAAAAAACATAAGCATAATGCAATGCTTTGCTGACACCTAACCAAAACCTCGAAATGGTAAGGATCAGAATGAGACTTCGAAAAATTCATTTCAGAAAAAAACATTTTGGCGAGACTAAATACTTTGATAACAAGAAATACAAAGTTAGTTTCAGGAAGTGAATAAGGCAGAAATGAAGAGGATATAAAGATAGGGAAGTTATAAGGAGGCTTTGCTCAGTTAGCTAGCTACCAAGCACTTGGGGTGGGAAAAGGAGGGAATAATATAAAGGAAAGGATAGCGGAGAAAAAAACAGTTAAAAAAAGATGGATGAGCAGTTCGCATGATTCTACACTACACGAACTCGCGCTGTTAATTTACAGGCACTCGTGATGTGCGGCGAAAGAGGGCTAAAAAAAGTGAAGACACCATAGAGCACTGCTGGACTGATTTTTCCAGCTCGGGCCAGCCCCGAATTTTCCATGCATAGGCCCGCCTTGCCCCAGCCCTTGTTTTAAAATATGACTTGTACCCAGGCCGGGCCCGAAACAGAGGCAGACACTATATCCTCACTGAAGCTGAGCTGAGTACGCGACCGCGATGATGAACGGCCGTGGTTGCAAAACGTTGGGCGTGGCCATGCTGCGCCACATCGATGAAAGCTACATTGCCCGTCGACCTTGCCACGAAAGCAAGAAGAAACTTCACCCGTGCCTTTAGCCAGCCAGCATTGTACTGCGGATGCATGTTACGCAAAAAGGGCGAACCATGTTAAATTATGACACTCTGTCAACCCATAGCTGCAGCTGCAGGAACCACTAATCAGTGCTTTGTCTTTACAGGGTGGTGTGTGCTCTTTTCTTTATCTGGCAGATTTCTCTTTCCCGTCACAATTACTTTGTTTTCACTCGCCACACTAATCTGTGTATTTAGAAAATTCTAGTGCGCTTGTATTTTTGTATTGCCTTCCAAAACAGGGGTCAATTTAAATTTATGTGTTGTGAAGAGACGGATTTGGGCTAAGTTCCCTCCACGCAGCTTGATGAGTGGTCATCTCTGCTTGAGGTTCACAACCTCAAACCTGAGAAGAAAATCATTGCAGTGCAATAAGAATGATATTTTGCTGTGTTAGACATATCGACGTAGTACTTCGGGAAAGGTTTTGTTTTCTAACATGATGAACAAATGTTTTTTCTTGTAGTCTGTGATAAGACAACGCAATTCACGTTAAGTTACTGTGTGGCAATACAGCGAAATATTTAGCTGGTTTTTCAGAGCACTCTTGAGCTCATGCTGGTGAAGCTATTATGACAATAAACGTATGATTATTATATTCTGTTTATCAGCCTATAATATAATTTTTATTGGGGAAGTGGACAGCCTTTTGAAAACAAACCAAAAATTGTGATATGGCTCTTTGAACACATATAAAATTATGGTGAAAAGTTCCATTCTAATGTAAGAATGGGTCTAGTCAATTTCTTGTATATTTCAAAATTTATTCTGTCACCTTTTTCTCATACAGGAAAACTTCGTGGAAATGTTGAGGGTAGAAAGTAAGAAACCAATAATAGGCATTGATTACTAGACTATTTTTTGATGTCCAAGTATGGTAGTGACTTTTGTAATAACACTTTTTGTCTACAATCATGTGAAATGTCATGCCCACAACAAAATTGACATGTGGCTTCATGAATAGGATTGCATTACCAGTTTACTGAAAGAGAACTACGCACCAGACTTCTTGTCATGTTTTCTTTTGACACCTTTTCAATGACTATTAAGTTTGTTTTAATTCTTTTACGTCATGTCTATAGGAGCATTTTCTGCCTTCTGTACATTTCCCTGAAAATAAACAAAACTGTGCGGTAACATCATAGTTCGTAAAGTACCTGTGTGGTGTAGGCGGGACTTGTACACTCGTCATGAAAGATATGGTGGTTTTGGGATGTTAAACCCTACGTATCATCATCATGAAAGAAAACTATGGTCTGGAAACACGGCTAGAGAAGCGAACCAGATCACAAAAACACAATTTTGTGTGCTCTGCTTCTCTTTTATGTGTGCACGCTTTACCTTCTTTTATCGAGGAGCATCTACCTACTAGCTCAACTTGCCGTTGTTCTAAACTTCTAGACTGATGGGTTAGCTTAGCAGAGTTACAAGGAGACTGTATAGTCCAGTGAATAGCTAAAAACGAGTGATTAGCTTAGGCAGGAAAGGTAACGCGCATTGACTTTTGGTGGAAGAAGATACACTAAGACGCAAGTGGTATATAAATTTTGTTAATGCAGTACGGCTACATGAAGGAACTACATAATTTTATTTTGAACAGAATCGATGGTATCTATTGAGTGCGAAGAAAAAGTACCGAGAAACATGATGTGAATTTTACGGAAAATGCTTGCATGTGCAAATACTTTAAACACTAGTCAGCATGAATGGTTCCTGTACCTCTTATTTAGCTCAAACAATACATTCTTGGAACTGTATTTTTTTTCTGTGTACTCATTTAGGTCAGGGCAGAAGCAGCATTACAGAAACTTCTATAGCAAGTAACCATTTCTTGTCTCCATTCCCGTGAATTCTGCAAACCTATTTTGAGTTAAGCTGCGAGTCAAGGATGCCCTTTCAAAAGTTTACTTTTTAATGTTTCTCTACTAACTTTCCCATTGCAGTTTACTTGTAGCATGAAACATTTTGAAGGTTGTTCCAGGCCACTCATTCCATCTATGACAACAGTATTTTGTTTGCATGTTCTTAGGTCTTTGCACCTGTTTTCAACCAGCTTTATCTTTGTAACTTGCTTCCCGTGTACTCTTGTTATTGCATTTTGATGATTCTCAACAGTCTTTAGAGCTACTGTTCAAAAATCATACAATGTACTCTATAAGTTTAGTGGTACCCAGGCATAAATACTACATCAGCATTACAAACAACCACAAATTACTAGAATAATCGATGTAAACAAAAAAATTCAACTGAGTGATATCGTTTTGTAGAAGCACAGACACTTGCAGTGAAGATCCAAAATACTGAAAATAAAGTGTACCTTCCCTCAGCTAAGGTGCCCTGAAGGAAGAAATAGCCATCGCCTGCTTTGTAATGGCGAGGCAACAACTCCGCTAGCGAATATGAAGTGCTGTAGAGATTTTGGCATTGTTTAGAATTCGTAGTCATTATGCCTGTCCTAGATTGATGTGGGAATGCCATCGTGGAGAATGAAAAATATGTTCTTGGTTTTGTACAGTCAGCTCTGTCAGGTCTTTTTGAGTTTGCTTTTATTTGTTATTTGACATAATTCTAGCAACATGTTATGCGACACATAAGTTTTATATGCACATACTCAAAGATTTCTCACCCACTTGCAAAAAGGCAGCTGGTACATTACAATTAACATATCCAGTTTATTGTGCCTTTAACGCTTATCAAGTGTTTTTACAGTTTTATTTTTGCAGTTTGCTGGCTGTACTCGTCGAACTTTTCCATTGACAATTTCGAAATGATGATTGCTTATAACTATTGACTCCTAGGCAAGCCAGCAGGGTGACTTTTTGTTGATCTTGAAGAAAAGTCAAATAGGACAATATGCTATGTAATAAATAAATAAAACAAAAACTATTTTCTCAAGAGCACAACATCTGCAAGTATTCGGGAGCTGGGGGCTTCAAAATGTATTGTAAAGCAGTTTTAAATAGGAATTGTCACTTTGTATGTTAGAATGAACTTGCGCGAAAGTGCAGCTGTTCAGTGTATTACGAAGAGTAAACTTGTTTGGCTGCCATCACAAATGGAATTTGCAGTATTTGGAAGTGAAATATGTGAAGCCCCGTCTACAGTTGTGAACATATAATCACTTGCATGTGAACATAGTGTAGCAAAGCATTTGCAGCCTGTGATGTGTTGCCCATGTAGCATCATCGTAACCATAATGCTACCCGTCGGGGGAAATGTTAGTGACTATGCCAAATGATTTTCAATGGACACACCGAGCCAGCGCATAATGTGTATTCCGCATTCCGTGCCATAGTGTATTCCACATTCCATTCTATATTGTATTCTTGATAAGGCAATGCAGAGTTAACATTGAATTCGCTTAACAAGTGCAGCATAGTAAACGTGTAGATGACATGCATTAATTGCTAAATTGGCATAAAAAAGTGAGCAATGATTCTATAATCCAGCATTGTTGTTAGAATACTTGTCTAGCTAAAAGAGGCACCTCATAGAAATATCATGTTACACAAACGTTCTATAACTGACACTTCTAAGTGGTGCACTTATTAAGTTCGACTTGGCGATAATGCCCACAGAAAGTACCAAAGCAATTCAACGTCAATTTTTTTCTACTAAACCATGTCTACGTTATATCAATACAAACAAGGGTGCCTTCGAAATTTGATGATCTTAGATGCAAATTTAAGTAGTTTTGATTTCTATCAATGATCATCAGTATTATTGCACAGCAGAGAACAATGGCGTAAAAACAGCGCTAGTAGTAGTGACACAAAGTGCTTGGTACCCAAGTGTACAACTCAGTGTTGCTGCTGTAAAGGCACGCTTTAGCTCACAGCAAAACTTTAATCCTGGGATTATCATACTCGCTGGAGTCACTGCCTTCCATAGACTGGTACAAGGTTGAAAGCTCGGTTAAGCTTGCCAGTGCATCTTGAAAGTGAGATTCCTCCATGGAAGACACTTGGAGAAAGTGGTGCATGTGCGCCTATAAAACAAAGCAGTGATTTATGTTCATGAGCACGGCACAGACTCCAGCCAATCTACTACAATTAGTGCCAAATTTCGCCTGCTCTCACTTATCATTTGCACATGCAGATTGATAAAAAAGCACAGCTAGTCTTTATTTTCCTATATCCTGGAATTATCTGCCAGTTATCAGAAGTACTTGAAACAAATAACTTGACAATTCTGTGCATTATTTAATTAAAGGAGCACCGACACAAAAACTCGAAGGCAAGATAGTAAGTAAGATTGATTTATGTGGAGACATACACAGCATCAATGAAATATCAAGGGAAAATGTAACCTAGAGCAGATTGAAAATGAGTTTTATGAAACATGTCGCATGACTGAACAAGATTCGGAGCCCCCTGCGATGCCTGCAACAACACGGAGATAATGTAAACAAACCCTCAGTCATGAGTTCCTGTTGGCTAGTTGCTTGCTCGTGCACAAGCTGCAATTTCTTTATACTTGCCTGCGGCTTTTTACGTGCTGGCTGGCAGTGCGGTGCCCGCTCGCGCGAGGCGTTCCCGTCACGGTTTTGGGTGACCGTGTGAGCAGTTGTACTTTTACCTTGCCTCTGGTACTGCGACTGCCTAACTCAGTGCTACATAAAACAGTGTTTACAATTGAGCACTCTGAAATAAATGCCTTTAAATAAATAACCATCGTGCATTCAAGAAAACAAGTTTCCCAGCTGTAATAAACTACCTATTGCAACCAGAAAAAAAAACCAAAATGGAAAATGTTTGAGTCAGTGCTCCTTTAATCAGCTTTGTTTCACGGAATTCCGTTCAAGTATACTCCTATCAAAGCCATGGGCTGTTATCTTCTCTATAGTGTTTGGGCTCTATGGAGTTCATTGATAATGCATAATCTATCGCATGAAATATACAGAAAAGTTGGATATAATGTCTAAACAAACATTGCAGATGCTGGTGTGCAAAAGTGGCTTCATGACATTGCTTTGTCGCTATGCAAAAACGCCAACTTTGTAAAAAAAAGCGCAGGAATTTTTTCTTTCATTGATTGATATGTGGGGTTGAACATCCCAAAACTACCATATGATTAAAAGAGACGCTATAGTGGAGGGCTCCGAAAATTTTGACTACCTGGGGTTCTTTAACGTGGACTTAAATATGAGCACACGGGCCTACAACATTTCCACCTCCATCTGAATTGCAGCTGCTGCAGCCGGAATTCGATCCCGCGATCTGCGGGTCAGCAGCCGAGTACCTTAGCCACTAGAACACTGTGGTGGTGTGTGTTTTATATCAAATGTTTTTTTTCTAATCATTCTTGAGAGTGCAGATCGTAAGCAAGTGTGTTCGCCTGCAGAACATGTAATAATTGCTGGCTACAACAGTGTTGCACTAACACTTTAGGGCATATTCTGCACAGCATTCGATGCATAAAACAAGCAAGTAGACGTTCAGCGCGCAGACATTACAGCTGCAAAGCATAGTTTTATGGGAGCTTGTCATCAGAAGACTGTCCCTAGCTTGAAGAATTTACCAGTGTTTTTTCTTTTGTGCGTTTTTTAGCATGCATGCGTAAGTATACATGTGTGAATGTATATACAAGTTCATATTTGCCTTGCGATTGTACAGTTTGAGAAATCCAGACTTCAGTCGGCACAGAACACGTTGGAAGGAGCTGGTGTTGCAAAGAGTCAGCAGGGAATGTGGTTGGCGCACTGGCGCTACTGAGCACAGGCCTGTCCTCCAGCCATCCTGGTTCCAGTGGACAAATTTGAGGCTTCCTCGCAATCTGTGTGCAAACAAAGAAGCAGACAGACAGTGTGCTCGTCAGCCGTTGTTCAAATGCAGAAGATACGGTTATAGTAGAATGCGGATGTATGCTAATGCTATGTGCTACTGCTAATACTGTAGTGCTACCTATCAGTATACAACTACCTGACGAGACATACTAAAGCATCCAATTTTAATGCAAAATCTTCTATCGTGGTGCGCCCTTTATTCATAACAATTTAGCTATCAACAAGAGTTTTAGAGAAGAGCTGTAGGTTCAATGCAGATAATTGAGCTAGCTGGCTTGTGCTTTGCAGCATTGTATGGTCACAAGAGTTTTTGAAATATGTGACTGCACTGCTCCTTCTTGGAAAGATTTTACGATTCATCATAACTTGCCAAGATATTCCACAAAAGTAATATGTAACTGAATGTTGTGTTCTATTAACAGCGCGACAACTGCAGGAAGAGACAAAACGAACAGGAAAGAGCACAGTCAGCGATCTTGTCTGTCGTTTTTGTCTCTGCCTGAAGTTCTCACACTGAAACTAGAACACAACCACGATAAACCAATTCGCCCAAATGAAGATCTTGTTGTAAACTGAACGCATTGCATAATGGATACAAACAGATACTTCATTTGATGTTCAACATAACTCGGTAAAGATCCGGACTTGCCTGTCAAGGTTCCTGCGCATGTCAGCCATGCAGATGTCTCCTCTTGCCAGAAGGGCACATGATAGCATAGTTCCTTTCTTGATATCACACTCCACTAGCTGGTGGTTCGGACTAAGGGAATCCGTGAACATCTGGTCCAGTCTGAGGGTAAAAAAACACGCCGCGCTATCGATACGATTTTATCTTTTTTTGAAGACATCAAACAGTAAGCGCAACATATGTTGAACAGCTGCTTACAAAGTCTTTAGGACGGCTTGTTTACAAAAAACCATGGGATATAGTTCAATATTGATGACCTTACAACAGACATTATACCGTTCGACATCATTAACCGGACAGCTGCATAGGCGTTTCTAGTGAAAAATGCGTCCCATCAAGCTCTGATTTTCGATGGCACTTTTTCAAGCCTTGCGCTGCCAAGAATGACCTACATCGCATATGACCGCAACATTACAAAATATGTCTGGCAGAATGCTTCTTGTAAATATGCCTAGAATTCATCATTCATGTAAACACTAAATTAACCTTTTATCGGGCTCCCTGCCTATCAGTAAACTAATGCAAGGCTCACCTGCGAGCTGGAAGGTTCAAATCAAAAAGTGTGTGGAGGGGTGTGATGCTGGACACCAGGAATTGCAGCTTGGGATAGGGTACCAGATTGGTGAAAACGTCGTTCATGTCCACATTGAAGGAGCCCGGAAAGCGTGCCGAACTGCAAATGCAGGTGATGCCATAATAAAGCTTAGACTGTATAAAACTCATGGTTTTAGACACTGTAGTATCAGCGTCAAATAAAATTCTAATAGCGAAAAGCCTTCGTGATGGTATATTGCACGCCATCCACTAATCACAATGGGCAGGCACGCATAAGAGGTCTGTAGTATGGAACCATATTTTTGTATGAGCACTGCATCGATTTGAAACAAGTGCGCTTGCATCAGTTGACCTTGTACCTTTGTGCATATGGGTGATTTTTTTTTGCCTGCCAATAGCGTCACTCAATGTAAAGAAGCGTTTGAGTTAGGTAGTGCACAGTGCTGTCAGCGGTTTTTTAGTGCAAGGAAAATGACGGAGTGACAGGAGCAGTGCCACTGCATCAAATTTTGCCACAACTTGGGCGAGAGCCAAGTGCAAACCATTCGAAAGATCAATGCGGCCTTCTTCGACAACACTATGTGCTGCACACATATTATAGAGTGGTACAACTGCTTTATAAATGGCTACGCAGCAGTAAAGAGCAAGCCATGATATGGTTGGCTATCAACATGCTGAAATGGCCAGCTCATTGCCGAAGCGATGCGGAACTTTCGCGTTACTATCCGGAAAATTGCGGAAGAGGCGGGCATTATTACTTTTTCTGCAAATTCCATTATGACCGAAGATTTACCCATGAAGAGAGTTGAGGCGAAATTGACGCTGAAACTGCTCATGGTCGAGCAAAAGCAACTTCATGAAGTCTCAAAGGACATTCTGAAATTCACGAGCACTGACACCAGCTTTATGAACACTATTATCACTGGTGACGAGTTTTGGCTGTATGGGCACGACCCGAAAACCAAATCCCAATAGTCACATAGAAAGCATTCTATCTCACCAAAACCAAAGACCCGCCAAGTGCGCCGCAACTTTGAAGTGATGATAAGTGTATGCATTGACTCTCATACTGTGGTAAAACACGAGTACGCACCACAAGGTCAAACAATCACCAAAGAGTACTACATAGATGTTCTCTGTAGCCTACGTGGTCCTGTGCAGCGCCAAAAGACCTGAGTTGTGGTCAACAGAAGACTGGCGCATCCATCACGACAATGCTGCTGCACATTCTTCACATATTGCTCAGACTTTTTTTGGCGAAAAGTCAAACTGCTGTAGTTCAACAGGCTGCTTACTCTCCTGATATGGCCCACTGCGACTTCTGGCTGTTTCTGAAGCTCAAGAGGACATTGAGAGGACAGCGATTTCAGACAAAAGAGAACATTATGGTTGCTAAACAGCTGAGCTAAACTTCATTCCGCAAGAAGCCTTCTCAGAATGCCTCCAACAATGACAGCACCATAGGGAGAAGTGTGGAGCCCAAAGGGGACTACTTTGAGAGTGGTAGGTGTGACAGCACCGCTGTGAGCAGTGTATAAAGTACAAAGGGAACTACTTTGAAGCGAGATCAGTTATCTAAGTGTACATATATGCCAGTTTTTTTTCTTCCACCAAAGGTCAGATACTTTTCTAACAGACGTCGCATATGCATGGTATAACTGTCAGTTCAAGCGCGCGAATAAACAGAAATGAAGAGAGGACAGGATGACTCGTATATGCGTGGAGCTGCCAGACAGGATGCATACGCCTTTGAATCGTGATAACTGGACGGCTTGCACTACCTATCACGAAGGCTTGTCACTGATCGGGTTTCATTTGACGCTGACCATACATATGAAGTTACCTTTGCACAAGATTTGGAATCTAAAGCATGAATAAGAAACAAATCAGCTGACTAGGTGGAGCACAAAGGCTACTCAAACAACAGTGCTGACTTACAAGGTTTATTCATCAACACTGCGGAATATATATTTACGAAGTTCTAAGCAAAAGTAAGAAACAACAATACGGAATGATAAAAACTGATACAAAAACAAACTATTGCCTTCGTCACTCTTTGGTTTTTTACTCATGAAGGTGATAGTTTGTTCTTTTTGTCATTATGACTTCTTTCTTTCGTTTAGGCACTGCACAAATATACAGGGTGTCCCACATAACTTGAGCCAGGAATTTGAAAGTGAAAGGCACTTAGGAGGCGAATTGAACCAAACGCATACTACTCGCCCTACCCTGTAGGTGCTCGGGCTATTTTCATTTCCCACAACACTAATTCTAAATTAGTTATTTCTTTAAACTATGCGCTGGAAATCCAAAATATGAGCACTGAGATGTAGAGCCCTTTCAGCAACCACCGACTAAACTGTTTCCTGTATGATATGTCTCGCGCTGTTATTTTTTCCGCGCTGTAAAAAAAGCCCGCGAAATGTAAAAAGAAGCCGCGGTGTGACGGACTACGAACTTACCGCTATAGTGCCGCTGTAGGCTTTCATTACAACGCGGAAAAAAACAACAGCGAGAGACGCATCGCACAGGAAACAAATTAGTCGGTGGTTTCTGAAAGTGCTGTCACACAGAGTTCATATTTTGGGTTTTCAGCCCATATAAAAAACTTGGTAATTAGAAATTTTAAATATTTATTATAGGAAGAAATCAAAAATAGCCTGAGTATCTACAGGCTAGTGCGAGTAGCACGCGTTTGGTTCAAGTCGCCATTGAAGTATCTTTTATTTTCAAATTCTAGGCTCAAGTTATGTGGGGTACCCTGTATATCGTACGATGCTGATGAATAAGCTTTGTTTTAGGCCTGCGCTGTTAAGTCCTCTTTTTTCTTGTACTCCGTCTTTTGGGTCTGTTGGTTTTCGATATGTAGTACCAACATGCCCAAGCATTCTCTTTAGATGAATAAGAATTCTTTAACATGCGACTACACCATTGCAAAGCCTGTGGCTTTGCCGTGATTGCATTTTTAGCAAATTTGTTAATACTTGATGATATCAAATTTACTCAGTGAAGCTTAATTCCACGTGGCTTTCAATGCATCGACTATATGGTAATCATATACAAACATATAAATCAAACAATATATCTCTGTACACAAAACATACAAAGGAGATTCTAATCGTGTAGATGACAAGAAACACAGACTAGCACACCTGTGTTTCTTCTCTCCTGTGACAGTCATGTTGATGGTAATAAATTATAAGGCCAGCAGGAGGTCATGCGCGCCTAACAGACGAAACACATTGCATGCAAATGGATGAAAAAGTTTTCATTGTCGCAGTTCAACAGCGAAGTAGGCATTTGAATTGGTGATGATCTAGAATCGAGATGTGAAGCTTCATTTCTGTTTAGGATTTGACAGCCACAATGCTGTGCTACTTCAATGAGTGGGATGGCCTGTCAGCAAAGAATTTTCGGAAACAGTACCAGTGGATAATCGTTCGGCGATAATACCTGGACTATTAAACAGGTTTTTTTTTCAGGTACGCTTTGTTGTGAGCCATTCCGCACTCGGCAATTGAAAGACAGCTCTTAGTGTTTTGTGTCACACTTGCGAAATTGTACAAAATTGCTGCATTGTATAGACAGATACCATCTATCCTGCAGCATCACCCACCATTTTGCCACTGCATTGTCAGTCCTGCCTGGGCAACGATACCTCCGCCTACTATTTTATGCACGTGTTCATATTCACAGGAGAGTTACAAACAAGTACCACCTCTTTGCATCAGCTTTTAAGGCCTCGGCATCATTTAAAGAACCTCTGGAACACCTGTTAGAGTAATCACCTAATGGATTTTTAAAAGAGCCTATTGCCTCACGTATTGGCTGTCACAAAAACATTCAGAGTCTGTCACGCACGAGGAGAGATACAAGAATTAGTCACACGCTTCAGGTGCTTTCTCTCTCCTTTCGTGCTAGCGAGTGTGCAGAGAGCTACGCTAGAAGGGGCTAGGACAAAAAGGCAAAAGATGCCTTTCATCAGCACATGTCATGACCTTGAGCACTTTTTTTATAGTGCGACTTGCATTCGATGTGAACGCGATGAATGCACACAAGCATGTGCTAACACTTTACGGCGACCACAGTAACTACGCAGCTTACAATGCTCAAATCAACAATAGTCGGGACATTCAATTATTGGCCCAGTGACTTTGTTCTACGTCATCCTTTGTTCAGAGGAGACAGAACAATTTCTAGCTAATTGAAGAATTGTAACTGCGAAGCTGCATGGGGTGTTATATGTTGTGCTCACGTGTTCGAAAAAGCCTTGGCTACTGATCGACACCACTTTGTGAACATGCTGAAAAGTGTTGCAGGGCCCCTTTGAGCATACTAGCAGTGCTTATCAAAAAGAAACGATCCCCTAGACGCCTTCCAAGGAAAAGAAGCAGGCAAGAAACATTAGAGAAAATTAATTATTCATACCTTGTTATATGGATCAAGACGTTCGCCACAATGTCATTCATTTTATCGTAAGGTGTCACTTTCTGTCCCAGCATGCCACTGGCACTACTTGCGATAGTCTGCTTAAAGCTCGCTGCAGCCTTGGCAACACGATCACAGATACCAATCAGTGCCTGCAATAAACCACGGTACAGACTCTAGTGCATCATCAAATGCCTTCAGCTTGCATGTGAATAAAAGTCCATTAAAAAGAGAATAGCTTGATAAGAGGAAAACCGTGCCTAAATACAAGGTATTTTAAGCAAATATTACGTCAATTAACCTTCGCAGTCAAGACAAAAAACGCTAGTGCTGGCTTTTCGTTTTTATTGACACCACTTAACCTAATGTGTTTTGACAAGGTATAAACGCAGCAATAAACTCTTATAAGGTGAACGAAAAATATTCAGCAAAGAACATCAACAGAGTATACTTTAAAAAATGACATTTTTTTTCTAACCTCAAACTTCTTCAGATACTGAAGCAAAATTTACCTTAATATCCGAAAATTTTCTTGGCAGACTTGGGTGTTAAACACGCGTACTAAGTTGCCATATCATGATTTACTTGTACAGTTAGGTTACATTGGAAAACTGAATATTAGGACACTATGAAATAGCATCTTACAATTTAGCATTATCGATTGATAGCTGCACACTGTTACAGATTTTCTTCACAAGTTTTTACTAAGTTCAAGCACAGGCACAATCATGAGATGTCATACGTTTTGACTGGGACTATTTTTGCAAACATCTTTTTATCCCTAAACGAGTAGTTAAACTCAAATCTCTAACTTACAATATTTTCGGCCGGACAGGAAATATTCGCGAGACTTGAAATCTTCTCGAGAGCAAGTACTGTGTTATATGGTGACGTCACAACATCGTCCACAGCAGAGGGGATCACCGGTGCGCAGAATCTGGTTCAAAAAGCGTATACGAGTGCATTACATATTCTACTGACACATGTTAATGCAAGAGAACAAAAATAAAAAGAAAGAAGAGAGACAAAACGAAATAAGTCACTCTTTGAGCAACTAGACCTTTATTCGCGACTTAAGCAATTCATGCGGCACCTAGTGACAATGTAGTGAAGCTGCGTACTGAGGTTTAAACAGTCGAAGCTCCAGTCTTATACGGCAGGAGCATGGTTGGATGGTGCCACCCGTGACGAAAAAAATGAACGACTAAGCAGATTTCTTCCTTCTAGGTGAGGCACCAGCGTTAACTTGTTAACTCGGATCTAATAAATGACAATTGTATCCATTGACTACATGTCGCTGCGGTGCCCGAAATATGTAAACATATTTCGCAGAGAGGCGGTGCGCTGGTGCATTAGGCACACAACACGACCACTTGAAAGAAGGACTGACATCAAATTTACTCAAGTCAAGACTTTTGCGTCAACCAGTAGCTATCGACCCCCTAGTAGCAATTTGCGACCTAAAAAACATATGAAGTACGAGTAAACATCTGTAATATTGATTGATATATCCGCTATCGAACGCGGTTCAAAATGGGCCAAAAGCCCACCAAATTGTAGTGCTGTCAGCGCTACCTCACGGTCATGTCGAGGCTCCTGCACAGCTGATGGTGCTTTCACAAAAAATTATGACGTCACGCACGCTGGCATTTTGTCTGCTTGGAGCGCACGTGCAGTCAATCCCGCTCTGTGTCTGATGATGTAGGCTGAAGCCCTTCCACGCGTTTTCCGTCAGCTAGGTTAAGGAGCGCTGACTCATTCTTTCCCTCTCCCTTTAGCCCCAGCCTCGAGAAGGGGCCTCGTACTGCCAGTGAAACCCCACTCGTTCGCCAACACAGGATTTGCCCTGTAGCAGCTCACCGCAAAGTGAAGGGAGCAAATGCGGCTGTTCTTCACAGGTGTGCAGTTCCTCTGTCCAACGGCGTGTCTGAAGTCAACCCACTGACTGCGTAGAGGTTCGTGGTTCGGAAAAGCATGAAACGTCACGCAATTTCCGCTTTTTCTTCAGCTCGACGTGCAGGTTCTCAATGCGCAGCTGTTCCTTGACATTCTGGCATGTTTTGCCACTCTGAATGATCGTATTCAAGCTGTGGAGCACATGTCTATTCAGTCAATGTGATAAGATGAATCACACGCACGCTTCAACACAGCAAGGAGAGCCATTAGTGAGAGCATGACCGGGAGTCGGCTCCAAACACACGCAGATCGTCGACGTCATTGTTACTGGTGTATCGTCACCCACGGTGGTATTTGTGGAATGTATCACACCAAACACGTAGCACTATAGTGTATATGTCGCAGGACAGTCTATTTTCTGTTTTTCTCCCCAGCTTTTCTGCGCTCTTTGAAATCGAATTAAAATATTTTCGACGCGATCTATGCAATTGTTCATGTTCTTCATGTTATTTTAAGTTGCGAATATGCATTGGATTGATAAAAATCAGCTTTTTTGTTTTGTATTACTAGGATGTCACGAAAATAGGAAGTATTCTAATACAAAGCACTCCTAAAATGCTTTTTCTGATGCTATTACGTTGCTGACATCTGCTATATTAGGCGTGGTCAAAGGCCTGAAAGTGAGAGACCTAATGAGCACAACTGTACTAAAATTTGTCATGTTAAGTACTTACATACCTCAGCACCTTAGGAAATTCTTCGCTTAGCATTTCCAGAACAGCAGTTCCCAAGCCAGAACCAGTACCTGAAAAGAAAACCCTCCTTGCTTCACAAGTTAATAGAATCCTGGGAAAGAGGCGGAGACGAGAGCTTTACAATTGTTGCATGCCATAAAAATTCATTGATCAATGCCAACGACAGGAACCATCATATATTGGTGAAACAATAGCAAACAAATCAATTTACCATGATTTTCGAACATGACCAAACTGATCATAAACACTGGGGTGAGTGTTTGCTTCAACTTTAAAGGGCCAGTAAACAATCTTGAGGTCTAAAATGTGTTATCGAAAGAGATATGTGCACTTTTGTATGTAAACTTGCTGCCGCTACAATTTGTGAACACGTGTTATATAAGGAAATAACAGGGGTTACAAAATTTGTTTCAACTTTTTTCATATCTTTACGCGGCCTCATTACCCTTCTCTGCTAAAAGATATAGCCCGTCGTCGTGACTCCACCACTTAAGGAGTGTGACATGACGTCAGCGATACATCATTGGCATGGAGCCAACGACCGATCTGGGCATCTTCGACATGAGCATGTACCATAGTGGCATGGTAGGTAGAGCGGTGCAAGGATCACCCTTCTCCTAGCCGCAAAGTAGCAAGACGCCTCTTTATCTTGGATGATTTCCTGCTGGTAATACTGCTTCTTTCGGTGGTGTCAGGCTCTATAAAATCACATAGGGCAGCACAGGAAAATCGAACAGCAGACTTCACAGTTGAAACTGCATCACCCCAGCACCAAGGTGTCATTTCGTACGGCCAAGGCCTAATGTACGAGCTCAGAAGCATGTCAAGTAGCCCCTAACTAAGTTAGTGTCACAGCGGGTAAGAGGGTGGTTGGTCAGACAGGAAGAGGCATGGGAATCGTTTATCTAAATGGAGGATTTCTCCGGCACACAGCGCTCTAATATTTAGAAAATGTGATTGCCGTGGTCTACTGTACGAATTCGGAGCTTGTTTAAAGGATGTAAAAAAAGTTAGAGGCGGTTTAGTGGCCCTTTAAAATGAAATTGTATTTTGTTCAATTTATTCAGCACAGCAATAGGCAGCTTTGTTTTCTCGTTTGATCCATCAATTACGGGAAAACACTATCAGAATTTCACATTGCCTTTGCCTTGCAGAAGCAAGATAGTACTACGGAAAGATGAATGAGGTTAGCCATCACTCAGTATATACGTAAGTTTCTAAATGGGCATCACAGATAACAGTAAAATATTTACAGATTGAATAGTACGAAGCACCCCATTCTATGAGTAAACTAGGTGCCCACAAAGAGAGCCCGTGAAAGGCACTTACCACCTCCCAACGAGTGAAGAAGGAAAAATGTCTGTAGAGAACTACAATGTTCGGCTTCCTTCCTTAGGTATTCTGTGATTTTTCCTCGATATTTTGCGCCATACTCGTGAAAGCCAACAGCCCTGAAAGAAAAAAAAATGCTAAGACTAAAGATGATGCCTGTGTGTAATGCTAAACCTAATATTAAACATCCAAGACAACATTTTTATTACACAAATAGTACTTCCACTTTAAGTGCTGGTGCTTTACACATCAAAACCATATTGTAATTATGGTGCCAGCCTTAGCATAGCGCTCTAGATTGTTTTGAACTCGGAGCTTTAATTGCATGTGCACCAGCATTACCGACATTTCCACTCCTGGAAATGCAGCTGCTGTTGCTAGAGTTTAACCCATACGTTTAACAGGGCAATACTAAAGCCCTAAACCTAGCATGGCAGGTTAGTACACAACCACTCCTATAATATAGCAATGTTTTCTATTACTAAAAATATTGGCAATAAACAATGTCCCCCCCTCCCAAGAAAAAGAGTGAAGCTGAGAGTGTCTTTGCTATGTAGTAGGGCCTCCTTAAATGCACTTCTGTCAATTAGCTGTCTTATTAAAATATCAGCTTCGGTAAATAAAACAAAGTTGACCTTCGCAACGCGAAAATTTTGCATATATTTGCTGTTCGTGGGAGAAAAAATTGTATTATCTCAATAAAGTACTTTCTTTTTTTTTCGGTACAACTACAGGTTAGAAGCAGCAGTGTGTTTTTTAGTTTGTACTTAGCAATAAAATTCCTATGGATGCTGAGTGCCAGAAGCTGCAGAATCGTGATATTCACTTGTTATGTGCACATCGGTACTCATTAGTGTTTTGCTAATGCCCGCTGTCAACGGTCATGGCATTTCTTCATTACATTACCCAGTGGCCTAAAATGCTGCTAGGGTTACGAGATGGGCTATAATAGAAAACTTAGTATTACTGCCAGCCACCCAATCTTCTACTGCACACCCAAAATTAAACGCGCGAGCACTTTAACATTTACATTGGAATGCCATCGTTACAGCCAGGAACATAACCTTGTGATCTGGCTCTTTTGATGCTGCACTATGAGACATCAAATGATTCATCGTCAGTTGTGAGCACGAAATTTCTCACCAGTTGTTTCCAGAGCCAGAGACGTCTGTCACAAACTGATGTTTGCTCAGCATGCCCCCAAGAGGCGTTCGCCGGATAGAGTTAATCACAAGTTCTTCCGTGTCTACCATCACCACCTTTTGTTGTTGAGAAAAAAAATACAAAAGCATATCATGTTCAAGTCCCTGATCACACAACTCCATAGCTCTTTGAGTATGCTTTCTTAGGCTCTGTAATACTGTATCGGAACACATGCACAATAGCAAAAAACACGGAAGCATCAGGCCTAGAAGTGCTGCAAGTGTATCAGAAAAAAAGTCTTCGTGCTCCTTCCATATTTCTACGCGAATATTTTACAAGGTAGTGAGTGTTCACGTGCTACGTGCTTTCATGTACATATTTGGAAAGTATATCTTTGGGTGGTGTGTAGGAAATTGAAGTTAGTGGAAAATCCAGCATTTCTCGTTTTCATGATTTTTTCTATGGTTTAATTATGGTGCGGCAGCTGAAGCCAAAAACCTAAATAAATGTCTCATGTGCCTTGTTCGCGTCCAGTGGATGTCATTCCAGCTTACCCTGGCTCTCAGCTCATCTTTGCCATTCTCTTCCATGCGAAAAAAATTCCATGCTGACATGTCGGTGTCCTAAAAAACACGAGAAGTATGATTAGAACTCGAAGTCAACAAGCTACATGATTATTGCATTCAAATTCCAAATAGATTACATCTAGAGGTAGCTATACAAATCAACCTACTGGTCTGGAAAACAATACTTTAATAATTAAAAGTCATGGCAGCTGCGTTGAGTCTTTTTATTGCTTCTCTAGCTCATGTTTTCATAGCTCAGTATCACATAGGGCGCTGCTGATCACGATTATGCTCAATCGGGATCACATTTGGCCACAGCGATTGGCCTCTTTCTGCAGTTTTGTAAAGGAGCCAACCACGACCAAGAAAATCGATTCTGACTGGACAGACCCGATGGAAATCGGGAGGTGGGACGAGTGAGACTGAATTGTATATATATATATATATATATATATATATATATATATATATATATATATATGTGTGTGTGTGTGTGTGTGTGTGTGTGTGTGTGTGTGCGTGTGTGTGTGTGTGTGTGTGTGAGTGTCTGTGTGACGTATGAAGCGAGAAGTGTTTTGGAATAAACATGGCGTACGAACCAGGCCGCGTCTCCCATTCATCATAGCGTCACACGAGTGTCGACAGGATGAAGTCACTTCATCAGTGTCTCACCATCGACGCAGTTCTCCACAAGACGCCCTGATCATACATCGACTACGAAATCATCTCCTAACCGCACTCAGCGACCAGCACCACGACAGAATCATCGACCGGCCTTCTCATCCCCAAGTACACCGGAGCAGCGGACGATGGACCTGTACAGAACTGGTTCGACATGTTCGAGCTTCACGCAACCGCTGCATCATGGTCGGAACGGGAGATGGTCGCCAACTTTACCGACTACGTCTCCGGTGAGGCCTTCAACTTCTACCTCACCCACATATTTCAAAATTACAAGTCATAGGAAAAGATAAAACAAGAGATGATCGTTTGGTTTAAAGAATACAATGACGACTAGGACGAAGACTTGCTTGTAATCCACCATCCAGAGACAACTGCATTAGGTCGTCACAGTCAAAAGCAGCCTTCATGCATTGACCAACCTCCTGCTTTTCTGTCGCGTGGATCTTCGGTCGCTCAAAACGCTCACCTCGCGTCTCACGCGTTCACTATGGTCGGAATAGAGCGGAGAAGCTCCGAGCACACTCAGCCAAGCCCGTCACACACAGCTCAGTTTCATACGCCAGAAGAGCTCGCAACATCCGTTCCACAGAAAGACAGTCATTCCCAATTAAAATATGACCAAACCGATCCTTTCGCAGTGTCGCCGTCGAATTCCCAGCCACCTGAGTGCCCAACCCACACAGGAGGCTCGCAAGGATCAACTCTCAAGCACTGCCCTGTGCCAGAAACATCCATCAAGAATGGCGTTGCAAGAGCCTCAGCAGATTTTTCCGCCAATTCTGGCGCACTATCTCCATTGCGCCAGAATTGGCGCACTATCTTCATTGGCGCAATGAAATTGCGACACCCTAACAAGTATCAACTATTTGCTGGTCACGTCAACCTACAAAAAAGCGGGCTCATGGTTCCAAAGGAAGTCCACCACGTCAGACAGTGCAACATCAGCAATGCCACCACAAGAGGAAACCCAACAGCTAAAACGCCCACACCAACATTGGCAACGAACAACTAAAACTACATCTCAAGGATACTTGCGGCCTGAAGAGTGTCGTGATCAACATACACTAAAGAAAGACTGATTGTGCATCTGAGCTATCTTGCAAAAAGAAAAGCCAAGGAACTTTTCCGCTCCAGCATTCAAGAATGCGCCTTTGGTCTGAACATCTGCGTCATCACCATATAAAACTCCCCCAAAGCCACAAAAACAACCGCTTGTGCTCTGCAGGAACACAAGCAGCGCCTAATCAGCCACGACCAACGGGCGCTCAAATTGCATGCACGGCGTTTGTAGGACCCACGACAAAAAATGCGACGCATACGAAACATTCAATCCTGCAAGGCGTTCCAATCTTGTTGGTCCTTTGCAAGAATACCGGCTGTATTTTCATCTGTTTCCACGTCCAAAGCATTTTTAAGTTATCCGGGACGCATCCACCAGCCTCGCCCACCAGAACTCCTGCATTAACAGGACTGCTGCACTTTCCCTGAAGTCTTCGAATGTTTACGAAACTACCCTGGAGCATAAAACCAATTGTGAATTTTTTACATTTGTGACTTTTTAACCTCTACTTGTTTACATTTTCTTGTTCGTAATCCATGCCTTCTTTCGGGGCGAGGGGGAATCGTGTGACGTATGAAGTGATGGTTAGGAGAAGTAGATGAGAAATAAGTGCTTTGGAATAAACATGGCGTATGAGCCAGACCACACGTCTCCCATTCTTCATATATATATATATATATATATATATATATATATATATATATATATATATATATATATATATATAATTTGAGATTGTAATAAAGCTGAGCACCGACAAACTGTATCTTTATTCCTGATGAAGGCCAGACTCTAGGCCGAAACGTCGAAATAAACCACGTTGTGACCGCTCACGGAGGATCTACTAGACTATATATATATATATATATATATATATAGTGGGAGTAATATTTCAATGGGCCAGTTAGTCTTCTTGAAGGTATGAGATAGTATGAGATATGGCACAACGGGAGCGTTGTCAACAAGGATAAATATATTTATCCTTGTTGACAACGCTCCCGTTGTGCCACATCTGATACCTACATATATATATATATATATATATAATATAATATTATATATATATATATATATATATTAACGTCCCCAAACCACCATATCATTGTGAGAGACGCCGTAGTTGAAGGCTCCAGAAAGCATTTATTTATTATGTGGTACTGGGAGAGCTTGAAAAGAAATTTCAGCAACGTGTGGGCATCAGCGCATATTTTAATTGGCTGATAATACACACAACCCTGAAACAGATATTGAAAAAGTTTTTCAACAGAATATTGCCATATATATATATATATATATATATATATATATATATATATACTATATATATATATATATATATATATTATATATATATATATATATGATGTGCACTAACTTTTATACAACCTGACCTATCTAGCCCTTGTAAAGAACATGTCCAATAATATTGTAAAAATGTTTGTTGAAAAATAGGGTCCCCGGAAACATTTTAAAAGAAAAATAGATGGATCACACTAAAAATAAATTCAGAACTAGCGATTGCGCAAGAATCGTACTTATTTCTATAGGTAACAGTAGACTTCCGCTTAACAAAAGCCTGACATAACAGCATATGATAGCACTACGCAGCGCACGAAATAGGTCTATGTCCACGCAACAAACCGCCAAACGTACAGTGGTCGGTTGATTCCAAAAATAAAAGAAGAAAGAATACGAATTAAGTACTGTCGAACGACCGCTGAAAAAAACACTGGTTGAACGTAAAGCTAAGCCGAAAAGCTTGTGCAGCCCAGAGCCGGCACGCAGGTACGTCTCTTAAAGAGCTTGTTGCGAGTTCCGATTACAAAACGGAGCACAGGGCACCATTTAGTAAAACTGTGCCACGTTAACGCCGACGCGTCATGAGTCACGAATAAAGCTTAGAGGTTAATATTGTTCGAAATGGTTTGAACACGCATTCTGTCACCACGGGCTCGCAAATAACTAAGTGGGTCTCTTATTACCTGCAGATACTGATGTGCACGCGCCACGTTTCTCAGTAACTCTACGTTTAGTTACTCGCTCACGGCAAACGTGCACGTGTAGAGTGACCGCACGCAGCAGCGTCGACTTGAAAACTGCACCGACCGGAGGAACGGGCTATCACACAACATAACCTGAGAGTCAGCTCCGCTACACTTGCCACTCAGATGGGGAGGCCAACACGGTGCTTTTCGTTAAACGACAGGGGCTCCAGAGCACACAGCCTAGCTAATTGAAGCAGCACCCTTGATGCACGGAAGCACACTTTTGTAGGGTCACATGGATTTAAAACCGCTTAGAGGAGATTATGCTGGCACTATAGAAGTCTTTGTCACAAGAAAGTTGCTAAGTTGAAATTATTGGCCCCGTATCTGCATGTTACACCGCAAATGTCGTCGAAAGACGATGTTCTTGCGTTTGGAGAGAGTGAACAAAACCTTTTTTTGATGTTCTGCGCAAGAAAATTGGTGAATGGTATTCTGGAGGCGCTGTGTTACAGTGCCTTTAGCATGCAGCGGAGGTGAACAAGCGCATCAAGTAATGTCACACGTGGACATGAGCGCTATCTGGCAGATATCCAGTAAAATGGGGCGAGCGCCATGCGCACCCCCCTCTCAGGTGATAAGAAGTAGAACGCAAGGCGATAAGTAGGTGCCACCATAGTGTCATCTTAGCAAAGCGTTGGAAATACTTGTCGTTTCCTGAAAGTATTGCGTGGCCAGCGCAGCGTTGTAAAGGCCACGATCCTTAAAATTTCCTCTGTATGCCTTTCCTGGTAAAATTTACACATACATAATATTGACGTGTTGTTATAGTGCCTCAGATATGTAGATATATACAATAATTGCTTTTTATTTGACAATGCCACAAGTATGAACGCTGAACCTTGAGCAATATTTGTGGGCACTGCGGATGGGATCGGCCCTTCGGAGTATTATTTGGTCACTTGAATGCGTTTAGGGAACTGTTAAGAGTGGACAAACAGACAAAAGTACAGACATGTAGACAGATAAAAAAAACGTTTTGCGTCGAAGGTCTACAGGAAAGACTATCGTCTTTAAAAAAATTGCTCGCATGCGTCTTATTTTCTTGGTATTCCTGCTGCTTCTCGGAAAATCATGTAGCCAACTTCGCCTTTTTTCTCCACTGAAGCTGAGGTTAGCAGGAAAGTTCTACCTTTCGAGACTGCTTTGGAGCAGTTTGGTGCAATTTTCGAGACTTTAATTCTTTTGGAACAGATTGGCACGAACGAAAAAAAGAAAAATGTATCAAAAATGCGCAATATTGACAGGTGCCTTACCCTTGAAAATCT